AAGTAGAGTGAAATTTAGGTCCGACCACCTACTGGGATCACAGCTCGTCGACACTACCGTCCTAAAGCATACCAGACACGATTTCGCTGGTACTAGTTTCATGGTCACTTTTCAGTACTTCTGACTCCTCTTAATGCATTTAAATCTGTGACACTAGTTTGCCAGGTCAGATGGCTCACACGCTTATGATAAAAGTGAATATGTAATTAGTTAATGGTATCCTGGTGCCATAAAGTTCTGTATGACCTACAAATTTGTTGACCCCCTGTTGCGTAATATCCACCAATTTGGCGCAGTGTTATATCTGAAACGTGTTACGGAAGAAGAGCAGATTTTGCACAATCGGAATGCCTAGAGATTCGATGCGATACCTTACAAACTCAGAAAGATAACGGTAACTATTTGGTGGTTCTACGCTTCTTTCTTGTGGTAAGAACCAATAGTGCCATTTGACTTGCACTCATCATGAGAGACGAGTAGCAGGAATACATAAGGAGTAAATCTGTTGCATTACTTCAGCTTGATGGAGATTAAGAAAAAAAGGATAAGCCCGTTAGACTACGTGCTTTAGCATAGACCATGTACTCTAGCCCATGAGTTTCCGTTGTGAGAGACGAAACGCAGTAGACGCCGTCCAGGAGACCAGCATGCAATACTGAGAAGTAAGACAGACGTGGATATACTTTTGAAGAGGAACAATTCCTTCTACGATGCAGCAACCGGTTCCTTATATCTAGAGTGTTGAGAGGCTGCGAATACAATGCACTTCACAAACCAGAGAAGTAGCGACTCTATATTTCAAACGGTTTCAGGTGATATGATTAAACAGAAAATTCGAGAAATGAAAGCATTGAAGAAACTTCCTGTTAGCAGTTGCACAACAGATGTCCAAACCATTATACGGAAGGTCGACGGCTACCAAAAAAGTACTTCATGAACAAGATTCAGTCGTGTCAAGTATTTAAACTATGGCGCACTGTCTTTGATCGTACGACTGTTTTGAAACTTTTGTCAGGAAGCAACTGAATCACTGTGGAGTAGGTGATCATGTGAAAATACTTTACATCATGGATTCCATATTTCGAAAGGACTAGTGCTCTAGTGGATTCTCAGGTCCAACTGAGTACCACCAATAATTACAAATGATTCATGAATCGAGTTTAAATGATTGATTCTTGGTTGATGACAACACGTTACTGAACATATCCGTTAAACTTACCGCTGCTTACCAAGGCACCCAACAGTCTTATGCACGCAGGAAGATAAGCATATAAACTGAGTGCCAGATTAGCGCCAAACCCGTGCCAGCATAAAGGATAAATGTAAATTTAAGCTGTAATCTAGGTCGCTAACTACGTCAACCCAAGCGTTTGTTTCTAGTTTGGGATGGCATGCAAGTTTTCACACATCACGATGAAAAATTAATATTCATCTCACCTTGGAAGATTCAACTTCAAAATACGAATGAACTTCATAACAATGGAAGGCCTTATAATCAGACTCCTTAAATCTTGAGCGTGTTCCTCTCAGTGAAAAAATGTTCTTCAGAAATGGGTTGTTTAGCAGTGTCAGAGTTGCAGAGTTGTCAGAGCCTGTCGAAGACGGATTACAGATCAATAAATGTTTTTTAGTCTTATATAGGAATGGCAGTAGGTCTTCCCAATGTATGCCCAATCGCAGTTCCCTCGTTCAGTTCTATGTAAACAATGTGTAACCGTACCTCTGAGTTGTCGGGTGTCTGTTTTCTGAATTAAAGCATTTTTTAACATTATGATCCTCTTGCAGTAAACTCAAAAGTCAATGCTTTTAAGATACCTTTCGATAGTCTGGTACCAGAATTGTGCGTGGCAGAATAACCATCAAACTATTTGAGGAAGTATCTTTGGTTCATGGTTGGATTCAAAAGCTCGATTTTCCGGGCTTCCTCGACTACCCTTTCTTCAGGAACACGGAGAGATACATTTAGTTTCGTCTAGAAAGGAAATGGAGGTGCAGTCTTTCTGCAGCCAAAATGCGTGCCCTTCCTGATGTACTTGAAAAGAGGTAGAAATGACGCAAAATGCCGAGTGTAGATATCTGTTGGAGTGAGCAGCTATCTGAGATAACCGAAGAGTTCAGATTTTGACTAGATATGGAACGTCAGAGATTTTCGTATGCAGATATGTAGAAGAGATATGTTGAGCAAATTATTGTGGAAAATTAGATCTGATCCACTTGAAGCAATTCAAACAAAATCCGCAATATTTATTAGCAACCGTAGACCTGAACTGCTGGTAGCGTCTATGCAGGAGGAAAATGGGGTCGACGCTGTTCAGAGGCTAGCTAACCTCTTATTAGGTGTGACGCCTGTACGATTCGACCTCTGACACCGTACTGTCACGGGATGCTGCATATCGGTGTGACGCAACAGCTGTCATGTCCGTCATTTGGATTCCGAAGTAAATACCGGAAAATGTATTGGTCAACGGAATCCTCAAAACGATATCATTACCCTGATTAATAGTTCTTGTTAACATCGCAGCAAATTTCATTGCGCGTGAGGCCACTACAGTCTGGAAACGATCAGACGGATCCGGTCACTCTGGCGCCGCCCCGCCTATGCAACTAAATTCACGTCGACCTCTCTGTGCCCATGATTTTTAGCCGGCGGATAAAGGAAGGATATAAGCATCGGCTAGTGAATGAATAGTGGGACAGATGTGACGTTCAGAACCAAATCCACAAGATTGCCTTGGCTTCTGCTTACCTCGGTGGCAATAGAACATAGTTGCCCAAGCTTGATAGATGCGAGTTCCTTCTCCATAAGTTGATGATCAGAAAATCGTTACCCTGTGACTGTAGCAAAGTACAATCAGTGGATTGCATCACGGATCATTGCGACATCTACGACCACTGTGAATGAACAGTCTGCCCACTTGGAAACTTTGGCACAATAGAGCTTGTACTGGAAGTGCAGCCGGTACCGTAATATGTCATACGAAGAAGAAGCAAATTAAATAATTATGTTATTGCTATCGATCGGTTATTTTTTAATCATTTGAGGCGCTTTATTTTATCCTCTGCTTGAGTTAGACGGCTGGAAAGTTGCGGACAACTCTGCCAGCAGAGTTCATAACAGAACCACAGAACTCAGCCATAATCAATAGCCTGAGGCTGTTTCGATTAATTACTGCATCGGCGCGAGAAACTCCAGCACGCATGCTTTAGCAGAAATTGTCGATGAGGAGCATGCGATTCGTCTGACCGTTTCTTGGCGAATATCCGCTAGATTCTACTCGTTTAGTGTAAGAAAAAGGAACGAGTTTTTAGGTGCTTGTTTTCGCTCTTCGACTAACCGAATTTGGTCTCGGTGTCTGTTGGCGCGACACTTCAAGAGGCTACGAACCGCGGTGTGTTTGTTGTTGTTGGCAGCCGGCGAGGGAGCGAAGTGCTCGATTTAAATTATGCATTTATAATCGAGTTTCCGTTTTCCTCCGACTTTCAAATGCACCTTCAGATAATAGCCTTTTTGAGAATAGACCAGAAACATTTTTTGCCGTAAACATCCTTCATCGATTCCCTTGGCCAACAAGTTTTCTCATACTGTGCATCATTCTGGACATGCAAAATGGTTAATGTCTTAATTAGCATTGTGCATTCAAAAAAGGCACTGAAACAATGGTAATAAATGCATAAATACACCAAAACCTGGATTTTATAAAGCAATGAATTGCATTTTTTTATCTTAGAAGTTGTAGGGGGCCATTGATAAACAGGCTGTGACCCCAGTGTATTTGAGTATCGACCGTGTGAGGTGTATCTCTCATTATTTTGCTGGTTAAAACGGTGTTGCTCATCGCCGACGTTGTTTCAAGAACCAGTATTTCACTTCCAGATTTCTACTAGCAGTGAAATGATGCAATTTGCATTTATACGCAATAATTGCTCTACCCGTTTGGCATCTAATTAAACGGGACAGGTAATGCACAGTGCGAAGCTCGGTTTTGATGAGTTATGCACTCATCTTGCATTCCAGTGTTTGACGCATGTATTCCAAAATTCTGAAAGTGCTTTGCGACGCTTCTTATTTCTATATTCATCTAGTATAGCAAAGTATGAACAACATCTTGACGGTTTTGTGAAAATGCTGAAAGTCCTGGCTTCAAGAATGAGATGGAACAAGTCAAATTGAGCTTTTGTGGAAGAACTGTTATGAATTGCCTTCCTCTTCTATCTGAATTCATTTGTAGAGTTGGCGATTTGAATTGGGTACAAAACCAAGGTTCGCAAAAGAAATAGAAAAAAACAGATGGCCTCCTATAACATGGAGGACGCCCAAAACAGTTGGCAAAACAAGACTTTTGACATCCCTCGTGCCTATACTGGTAAATTCGAAGTCTCTAAGTACTGAACTTTAGTTTGGTTTCGAAAAAAATTTTTCTTCCCCTTTCTGAACACCCGCAGCGTTGTATGAACTTTACAACTTGCAGTCAACAGTTTTACTAGCGCTCTTCTGAGGAACACCTTTTAATGTCGACTCCTTTTAATATTTATGCTCAGACCAGACTGAGGCTACCACAAATTTTAAACAGTTTACAGACTAGCAACGCAGGAAAAGATGATGGTGACGTAAGAAGGCTCATTTTGACATTCCTCCAACGCTGTTATTGAGTGAAAAACTGCTCTTGCACTGAAAAGAGGTCACTCCAAAAGTCGCTACATTAAATATGTGGAATAGAGTGAGAGGTGGCAAAAAAGAGTGCTTGCTCATCTCATGTTTTAACCTAAATTAACTAGCTGACCGTTTATAGGTTTCGAGTAGGCCTTGAAACCGCACGTCATCTACCGTCTGATGTACAATGCTTTTTCCACAGATTAATTCTATGATGTATACTCGCAGTTTCAATACTTGGAAAGAAATGTACAAAGAAGCAAGATCTATTCCCTTACGTGCACGAACCTTGACTGAGGTCTTGACGACACCTCTACTGATTGTGTCTGTATTGTATTCACGTGATAGTAGCTGAATAAGGTGTCAAACTATGTTGAGAAGGTAAAAGTAGAAGTTGGTGTTTATTCATCCTCA